AAGGGTCAAATTATAAATTCATTCTTCAGCGGAAAAGATGTTTTTTTATATTTTCTAATAAATCAAAGAGATGCTATAGTGTATTACCGTGTCATGATTTTCTGAGATAAAAGAGATAGCGACTTAAAGGTTATTAATCCACCAAAATGTGTCCCGTCAGTTACATAACCTAATGTCGGAATCGTTATCAGCAATATCCATGTCAACTGCTGCTCGGGACAGAACACGTACCCGTAAGCACTACCACTAGAGGGGAGCACTTTTTGCACCTCCCCCTTATTTTCAATATTTGATGAAGTGAGGTCCTAGTCCTCCATTTCCCCTCCCCAATTTCTCGTGGTCATTTACTGAAAATTAACTCACGAAAACTACGATAAAACTTAATTATATAATACCATTTGTAATGAACTGACGATTCAGCTACTCCTTTATATATGGCGTTCTATCTCCCTCCCCCCTGCTATACATTTAACTCTAACATGTTACACTAATCTTCGCCTCTCAACGTTATATGCTTAAGTGTGGGTGCCTGTGCATATTTCTTCTAATGTTTCTTGGTCTCCTTCAATCGCCAGTTTAGACATCTACTACTTTCTCCTTATCTATAAAAGCATTTACAGGCTTAAATACGTTTTCATATTTTGTCCTAATCATTCTTTTTTCTTATGCTTCATCGTAGATTTCCGGCGGTCTTTTCGGTGAACCAACGCTGATTTTTACCAAATTTGTCAAAAAAATTGAGTCAAATTAATATAAATGGATTTGTAACTTGGAAATCAGTTCCCTAACAGGAAAAACCCATATAATCAAAGTTGTAGAGCATCAAATTTTGCGTAACTGAGTACTAAAATTTTTATTGTAGGCCGATTATATATCTCGAATCGGGATTCGTTATTCCTTTATAAAATTCGGTATCTTTCGACACATCGTTTACCAAAATCCTTTGCTGTTGAGAGGTGGAAAAGAGGCCTATACTGCATGTAACAGACTCTAAACAAAAATAACTCAGTAGAATAGACACCCATACAGTTGAAATATTGAAAATCACGTTTACTTTAATTACCAATTTTTAACCATTGGGAGATTACCGATTTTTTTCGCAGTAAGTGACCTACATTAAATTAGTTGGTACTCAGTTGACGCAAAATTTGATGCTCTACAACTCTGATTTTATGGGTTATTCCTCTAAAGGAATTCATTTCCAAGTTATAGGGCCATTTATAGTCATTTTTCTCAGTTTTCGACAAATTTGGTAAAAATCAGCGTAAGTTGGCAGGAGTTTTATAGCTTACTGCGTAAAGAAATTATAAAATTTATGTACTCGTTTGACGCAAAATTTAACGTTCTTTAATTTATTAAAGAATACATTTTTCGCTTTGATGCATCGTTTAGTAGTTATAGGTGAAAAAATATATATATTGAAAACATCTGACTTTTTTGGCTGTAAAAAAGTTTCCCTTGGTGGCCCGCTTTAGAAATTTTGTTTTTTACTAGTCTAAATCCATATATACAAGTTAAAAAAATAAAAACTTTTCTCACATTTTTTTCAATGGATTTCCAGTTTCGATCCTCAAATTATTGACCAAATATTCTTTAAATCAGCCGCAATTTTTTAAAGTAGCTACTCCGGAGTGGCAGACAAAGTTCTTTTTACTAAGAATAACGTACATTTTCGTAATTTACAATCAAAGCTTCGCCTGCGATCAGGTCGATTTTTGGGCTCTGGCTCCAGGGCCCATGTATTCCTATACCTTTCCATTTAAACTACTTATGTCAGTACAGCGCTTAATTGTTCTTATGTATTGTTAGTTTAACTGTTCACATATTTCATTTACACAAAATATTCAAAATGATTTTCACGCAAAATGTAGAGAATCTACTTATGTATTTATAAATTTATAATATATTTACTTTCAAATATATTTTTAAACTTTTTTATATCGCCTTTGATATATTTAATTTATTTCCATCTGTTCTTGCCTATCGGCAACTCATATTTTTGGCAGACATAGCGGGATGCTTCTACCACTTATTCCCTGATTCTTCGCTCTTTTCATTAGGGCAGGTTAGAGTGATTATTATTAGTTCACTTGTGATTATCTTGATTTTCTTTTTTATACGTTGAGAAATTTAATTAATTTTTATCTAGTTCTTGATTTTAAGTATTTGTAATAACAAATGTTAATATTTTTATAGGTATAAAATTTACTTCCTTCCTTTTTAATTTATTTTCTGTGTTTAAGCTAAGTAATAGATAATTAATAAATGTATCGATAAATGGTAATAAAAAAAAGATATATCGGGTCACGATGTATTTAATCTTTAAAATAAACAGGAGGAGCAAGTGCAGTGTTTCCGTTCCTAAGAGAATTCTGATATTGTTTACTTTACTTTTAAATACTTCTTGGTAAGGAAAATAAAACTGTTATAGCTTTTTTTTTAAAAAAAAAACTATTTCTATATTCATTTATTTGTACATAGTTTAGTTAACCTAGTTTTTAACTTCGACCAGGTCATAATAATTGTTTCCTCTTCAGTTTCAATAATGATAGGAATACTGAATCCTTTAAAAAGTTCATTTTGCTTTTTAAATGTTTATAGAATGTTGTCCATTAGTTTCTAAAAATATTTGCACTTTTATACTTATTTTGTACCTTACATTAAACTTATTTTAAACTTATTTTACATCTTGATCCATTAAATAGAATAAAAACTATAATGATATATAAAAATATACATGGATTAAAATCCCAATTCAACCGAAGTGTTTTAAAAAAAAACACTTCATATCTTAAACATGAAAAAAAAAAAACACGTTTCACCTGGTTGTCTATTCTTTTTAAGTCATATAAAAGTTGTTTCTTATAATTTTCTCGTAATTATCGTACCAAAAAGGTCCATTCAGAACACATACGGATCTAAAGGGGAGGGAGGCTTTCGGGCTGAACCCCTCCCCCAAAATGGTAAAATATAACAATATTTTACAGAAAAAAAATTAAAAACTATCTCTTGATGTATTTTTGTTAGTGTAATTACATTTAACAGGACTTCAAGAATCACTTAAACGTCATTTCATGTAGGTAGTTAATTTCTTCTCTTTTTTTTTTTCAAATTAATTATAGTTATACATATATAAGAAAAAAAAAACTTTCTGGCTGAAGCCCCCCAAAATTAAATCCTGGATCCGCTTGTGATTCAGGATTTAATTTATAGTTAATTAGCATGCACTAGTACTAATGATTTTTTTAATTTATACAATAATAAAATAATTTCAGGTAATGTTTATCTCTAATATTTATATTTTCATGAACTGATTATCTTGTTTCATTTATTACATTTTAATCAACAGTCTTAAATGATTCAATGAAAACTAAAATTAAATGAATTTTATTAGCTACTTTTTTATGTTTTTCACCTGCTCACAACTTTACTGCTCCTTGTATATAAAAAATGTAATAAAAAAAAAGGTTCTAAAATATATGACTTGAGCTGATAAGCAAAGCTCTGATTTAATTTTACTAACTGATTGCAACACCCTCCTCCCCCCACTTCTTAACCATAGTGCAATAATCCTATTGAAAAATTAAAAATATGATGTTTTACACACGAAACTGGCATTTTTGTAAAGTCAATTACAGTTATTTCCACTCCTAGTGAGAATCATAACCCTTAAAACTTTTTCCATTGATTTGGAAACATTTTCAAGTCCTGAGGAATATTGTCCCACTCTTCGAGAACAGCTATTTCCAGTTCCTCAAGGGTGCTAGGGCACAGATTATAACTTCATACTCTTCTCTTAATGTGGTCCCCATACATGTTCTTTGGGTCTAAGTAAAAAGTTTTAGTATCCGTGGTGGCCACATCAAGCATTCAATCCCAACTTCAATCAGGTATTCATCCACCATTCGTGATCTGTGTGGTCTGGCATTGTCATCCATAAACAGGAATACCTCACCAATGTAAGGAGTAAATGGCACTATATGCTCTTTGATTGTGTTGTACAAGTACCTCAGTGACTTTCCTTGCACCACAACCGACTCCGTATGAGCTTCGAAAGAAATACCATCCCAAAACATCAGTGCATTTCTATAAGAAATGCCACCTGGAGTGCCATATATCATGGGATGTACTTTTCTCCTGGGGATCTCCTTGTGTAAATAAATATGGCCATATGAAGTGTAGAAAACAACTTACACTTCATCTGTGAAGAGAACTCTGTTTCCATGTTCCAATGCACAAATCACGTGGTCTTGTGCGAATTGAAGTCTGGTTATTTTGTGAGCTGTAGTAAGCGGAGGAATACAGGTAGGATGTCAAGCCCTTAGGTTACATTCTTTAAACCTTCTACTAACATTCCTGATGCAAATCAACAAATTTTGAACTTGCTTAATAAGGTTTCTAATCTCATATACTGTGATTTCACTGAACTTGTTGCCAAATGTACCTATCATCTATTGCTTATGTACACTTAGACTGACCATATCCTCCTCTTCAGGAGTGTTTTTCAGCCTCTCTATACGTTTTATAGCTCTTTCGATAGTGTTATGGTGAACTCCCAGTCTTCCTGGCGACTTCATGAGTATCCTTCCTCTACCAATATTACAGCCCTAACACATTCAAACTCTCTTGAATGGCTTACTCTGGCCATTGGAAGAATAAAAAAAGTGTGTAGCAAGCTAATATAATGAGAACAAGTTTATCATGGGAAAATGGTATCAGTCTAATCCTACTATCTTGAAAATCAAGATTAAAATAATCCTCCAGAGTATACAAAGAATTATTTATTGTATATATTGGTATATACTCTTAAATCCAAAAAATACCAATATATAAAGCAAATAAAAGCCGGAGAAAACTAGTCCATTTTAACTTAAAGTATTGTAATGATGCATTAATTTTTTCTTTCAGAATAGATATGTATAGTTAAATATTATTATAAGACTGATAACTTAAAATATATATTACAAAAACCTCATTTTCTTGTCTTTTTTTTTTTATATAGGCAGCAGGCTTGGTTATTCCAGCTCACTTGATGCTGATGATGAGGAAACCGGCTGTAACACCATACCTAACCTCTCGTTTCAGGATGACAAACATCCTGGATCCATCCTTCATTCTATCAATATGATGAGAAAAAACAGGACTTTCTGCGATGTTGTCCTTCAGGTTAGATGAAAACATTTTCCTTTTTTTTTTTTTTTTTAATGCTTTATTATCATAGATCCAAGAAATATGTATTAATTTTATAAAAAAACATAACATGCTATTTGTTTTTCTTCTTTCGTTTTCTTCAAATTCACCTTTTTCTTCTGTTTAGGTTGAAAGTAGTGATATACCTGCCCACAGAGTTGTTTTGGCTAGTGTTTCGTCACATTTGATGGAACTCTTTCAAGCAGACACTGATTCAAAAGAAAGTATTATAAGCTATAAATTGAATGGAGTATTTGAGAAGCATGCTGTAGAGAAGCTTGTTGATTATGCCTATACATCTAGGTAAGTACTACAATTTAGTTAACTTTCCTATACTTACTTTGATATGAAATTTGTACTATTGTTGTGTAACAGTTAACAAGAAACTCATCAGTGTGGTTTACTGTGTAACCTTTTTTTGTTGATTACTTTATCTATAGCCCTTTAAAATTTCGCTCATTCCATGTTCAGCTTTATTAAAACGTTCAGTAATTGAATCCATAGCTAAAGTTTCAAAAAAACATGTTAATTGTGGAGTACAAATTAGCACACCCATGTACCGTCACTTTCTTTTTACACTTCCGCAGTTCATTTTTCTAAAAACATCTTTATCTCAACAATAAAACCTTTTCTCTGCCCAGTTATTATTGTTTTAAACCCTGTTGATGAATATATTACCTCTTACGCTCATGATCCTTTGAAATCATTAAATGTTCCAATTTGAAGTCAAGTATCACCATTCGCTACTGACTGACATTTATCTAAGAAAGAGGATTCAGCAAATTGTGAACTGTCGATTGTTCATAATTGTGATTGTTATTTAACCATATACATCTTGAAGTGAGCAATACTCATATAAAATACTTAATAACTTATTGATAAATGGTTTCCGAAAATTAGTTTTCCTAGGAGCAAACTTTCTCTTTTATGCTTATTTTAGTTATTTTTGGGAAGGAATCAAAACTTATCTCATTTTTTTTAGAAATCCTAATTAGAGGAATGACCTGGTATATTTAATTTGCTGGAAAACCAGTTTTCTTTTTGTGGTCTGGTAAAGTGTTGAGGCAGAAGGTATCCTTGATCTATGTACCATGTGACAATATTTTAGGAAGTTATATGAGAGATATATTATCTTGATATGAAACAAAAAGATTGTCCTTTCAAAATTGGCTTTGAAGATATAAAACCATTTGATTTTTAAGTTAAAAAAAAAAGAAAGGCTGCAATATCTTAACTAGACCCATAGTGCAGTAGATATTTGATTATTTTTTCTTTCATAAAAAAAAAAACCTGTACTGCTAAAACCCATCAGTACTATTTAGGGAAAATACTGTTTCAATGCAACGGTTGTGCAGGTAGATCGGGCCAGGATTACGTTCAACCACCATGTTTTCCCCTTTATTAATTATTCTAATTAAGTATAACCATTTTGTAGAGGCTGGGTGTGCCCCAGGAGGGTCTCCTATGTGTACGCCATGGTCGACCCACAGCTGATGAAACAGAATAAATTTTCAACGAAATTTGCCAATGAAACAGAATTTTTTTCATTTATAGATTTGTTTTTTTAATGGATGCCTCAATGATTTCATGGATGTCATTATTAAAAATTAACTAAAAACAGCTAATACTGTTGTTAAATTTTAAGATTTTTTTTGTTAATTGATATTTTTATATTTAGTATTGTCTTATTTTTTTAGGCTAGAATTGGACCCAGACGAAGTGAAATCTGTATTTATTGCTGCAAATCAATTGAAAATTGATAGAGTTGTTAAAGTTTTAGGAGCCCATCTTGTGAACAACTTGAATATTGAAAATGCAATTGACATTAGAGCATTGCATGGCATCAGCAAGGATAAGTCACTTGTAGCTAAAGTTGATGCTTTTATATCAGAAAATGTATGAATATATTCACTTTAGTTTTTAACTTAGTTAAAGTTATCTTCTCAGTCAGAGTATGTGTGATTTCGTGGCAAACTTCATGAATGAAAGATGGAGGGTGATTCTTGTGTTTTGGAATTCTTCCTAATGACACATAATTTCGTTGGTATCACTAATATTACAGTTTGACTTGTAGCTTTATTTTAATTTTTTTTCACCATGGTACATTTTTATTGGCAATTCAATAAGCTTTATAAATAGCTATTAAAATGCAAGAGAAAACAAGAAACATGTGAGGTATGGTCAGTTGTTTTATTCCTGATTTCCTCATATTGTAGATGATAAGTTTGAAAAGCTTGTTAGCACTGGATAAAAATTTAAAAATATTATTATCATCAAAATTGAGAACTTAACATCTAAGGATAACATTGCTCCCAAACTAGAATATTTTTTTGAAGACATAAGCAAAAACTAATGGAATATTCAGACTTAGCATTACCTTCTCTTTGAAATTAATTGTTAGAAAGTTGTTTTTGAATGTTGGAAACAGAGAAATGGTTCTAATTTTGGAATAATGTTACCACCAAGATGTAAAATAAAGTTCTCCTGTTCCATTATATTTAAAATTGATAATTATGCTTGAGATATTTTAATCAATTAAAAATTTAGAAAAAATCAGAAAACACATGATTCAATAGACCGAGTATTACTTATGAAGTCTACTCCAAAAAATGTTCAAGACATATTACTATTCACTGATTGAATCTTCTCCACCCCTCCTTTTGCACCAAGTTTATAAACTAATTGTTTTAAAATTAACAATTGTACATTTTAAAAAATCCTAAAATTATTTTTAGAATAAAAGCTTTAATTATTTTGATTCTCTGAAAATGTTTTATTATGATTAAATGTTCACAAATCTGGAATCTCTTTGCGATTAGTTGCAACATTTATACTTTTCAATATTTTTAAATTAAATAATATTGAAAACAAGAACTTATCAAGCTTAACATAAATAGAAGCATTGCTGGACTATAGACTAACCATGTTCTGTCTTGTAACAATGATTTCATAAAAATGAAAACATTTCAGATTAAGTTTCACCCTCCATTCTTAAGGATCCCAATTTATTTTAAGCTATAATTTCATATCTGTAATATTGTAAAAAATGTCCTCATCCAAAAAATTTTAATGTTTTAAAATAATTTCAATTAAGTTTAAACTAATAATTAGTTTTTATACTATCGTCTAGGGAACCATAATCATCTGTTATCATTAATTATTTCCTTTTACGGCTGTATATTTTAATTATTTATTTATTTATAATAAATGATTAAGTGCCATGTATGCTATTAAAATTGAAATTTAACCCTTGAATTGCAAAAGATGATATATTATGCAACAAAAAAAACAAAAACTGGCAATTTAGTCCAAAACACTTAATTTTGTGCAGTATTAAATTGCAATACGTTGTTCTACAGATCGTGAAATCAGATTGGTAAGCGGTTTGAAGTTTTTATATGTAAGCAAATAAAATTTGCAATGACATGGAAATGTCCACAAAGTATCGATTATATATATATGAGTGGCTGGATGTATGTTGTTTTAGTTCAATGAGATAGTAAAAACCACAAGCTTTCTGTCTCTTCCCTGTGTCCAAATTGAAGTGCTTTCTCAGAGTGAAGCAGAAATGAAAATGGTATCAGGAAATTCAGTATGCCAGCTTGCATTTGATTGGTTGACTCGAGCTAATGAAGAGAACTGTTTTCAAGATCTTATAGAAAAGGTGATATGTATTAGTATTAGCTTATGTGTCCCAGCATAATCCTTTATTGGCTATTTATAATTTTTGATATATTATTTCTGTTCAGACTCATATGCTATATTTGGCCCTTGACAATTCTCTTCAAGACTGCTCAGAGTTACCAAATGGTGATATTGGAGATACAGAGCTCGTTCAAGATTATAAAAGACTCTCTAGAGCCACAGCTGTTGCTATTGGAAAAGTGAGTTATTAGTCATTTTTTCATATTTACCAATTGATACAGTATACTCATTAGCTAATGAAGTGAATCATTTAAAATTATTGTGATTAGGGTATTAGTGAAAATTCCAAACAGAAAGCTTTATACCTTTAAAATGCAGATGAACAAACTCAACAGTTTGTTTTTCACCAATTCAGGTATAATCTAATGGAAATAACATGACCAACATATCTCTCAACAGTCCTAAAAAGACATACTAAATAGACACAAAAAAGGCACATCAACTAGAAATATTATATCACTTCATGACTTCCAATCTCATACTGAAAGAAAAGGGAGGTAAGAACAGCTAAGGAAGGTTACCTGCATTCTAGAGACCCAGTGTTTGGAATTTTTCATTTGTAAGGCATTTAATTTATGACTCTTTTTGAAGTTTTTCTCTTTTATATTAAAAAATACCAAAATTAAAGCTTAATTTTGCTTTGATGATTTTTATTTTTAAAAAGAAATATATTTTGTTTTAAAAAAAATGTACAATCTTTTTCATTTTGGTCTACCTTCAACATTAATTTCTTCTCGAAGATAACACATGATTTTTTTTTAACATTCTGATTCTATCTTGTGGAAACCACTGAGACTTGTTTGTAGTTCATTCAGGCTTTAGAGGTGTACAACAACCTGAAATCCTCTGAAGTTGATAGCATAAATGTTCAATGGGATTTTTGAATATATGAGCAAGTAAGTCAATTTAAATATTGAGTTTCTTGATCTTGTGAAAATTCATTACTAGCTCTGTGAGGTCTAGCATTGTCATCCACAAAAAACAAAGCCTAGTCCAATAGAAGTTAATTGGAAGAGCGCTTTAGGTGTCAAAATACAGTGTCTGTTCAGTATTATTTGTAAAATGTTTATACAAAATACCTGAAAGTTAGCAGAACAATAGAAATTAAAGAGAATCTATAGAAGAGAGGAAGAAAGCATGTAATCGTGACCCACAATACTTAATGTTTATATAGTCAATCTTAAGGTCACTTAAAGGAATAAGTAAATTGCTGAAATTTATAATTTTGTTTTAAATGGAACTTAATGAAAGAAAAAGAAAAATTAAAAAGTATATTAGACAAAATATTTAGTATAATTGAAACTAAAAATTCTTTAAAGAAGAAGTAAAAAATTTTACAATAAGTATAAAAATTAGATAATGAAAATAAAAATAAACTAAAGAATACTGAGTTAATAGTAAATTCATCCTGTTGTAACATAGGGAAATACTAGTTGCACATGAGAAAATGAAGTGAACATAAGTTTTGTAGGAACTAATTCCTTTTATACTAAAAGATAAATAAGTAAGGATACACTTTTGATTTTAAAAGAGTTTATACCATTGAATATGCTAATTGGTATTATGAACAATCAACAGGTGTTGCAATGGAAAAATATTTAATCCTCAAGTTTTTACAATCAGATGTCTTTCCAATTATTCAGTTTATTTGTTAATTAGAACATTTTAAACATATTTTCTTCTTTCAGAAGAAAAAGAAAGCATTAGCTGCAGCTAAACCCCGTATTATTATGTACTCACGTAATATTTCATGTAATTCAGAGGAATTGGAGACTGAGAATAATGGGAGGATAATTGCTGCCACAGAACTGAAAGGTGTGTATAAATTGTGTAATTAATAGATGAATGCATGCTTATTACTTCTTTTTTTTTTTTTAATCAAATGGTTTGGAAAAATCTTAAGAAAGACAACTGACACTTTATTTTGCCTTAGCTGGGATTTTTTTTCCGTTGACACATTAAATAATAATAATAATAATAATGAAAGGCTTGTCGAACCCGAAGGTCTGATGCTGACACCACCAATCGCTTATTATACACCTTCCTCCACCATTCGCCATCCAGACCCAGTCCCTTGAGATCGTTTTTAACGCAATCTTCCCACCTTCGCCTCGGACTTCTCCTTGGACATTCACCATTCGGTACAGCAAATATTAACCTTTTAGGAATTCTTTCGTTACCAAGCCCAACAATTTTACAAGCCCATTTGATTCTATGCGATATAATCACTTCAATTATATTAACCGGATACAATTCATGCAATTCGGCATTGTGTAACCTTCTGAACTCTGGTTAACTCATCCTTTTTTGGTCCGAATATTCTACGCAATACTTTGTTTAATGTAAGTCGCATACATAAAGAACTATAGGTAAGATAATGGTTTTATAGATTCTAGTCTTTAAATTCCGGGACAAGAGGCGTTCGCGTCACCTACAACTATTTTCATCGAGTTTCGTGGAAGTTTATCGTAAATCCATTCGAGTTTATTGTGAAATTCACATTTTACTTCATCATCACTGTCTTTGGTCGGACAATGTATGTTTATTAACGCGATTTTAAACCAACATCCCTGAAATATAGCTACTGAAATTCTATCACTAAAGAATTGTACGTCCCTCAAAGCGGATAGCAATCTACTCCTAATTAGAAACCCGGTATCTAAACAATAATTCCAACTTCCTCCGTACCAAATATTGTAGTTTCCTTCCTTCATGGAGCCCTCCCCTGGTCAGCGAACCTCTTGCAGAGCCATAATATCCAAATTGTACCCATTAACCTCATTCACGACTGATTTTAACTCACCTGCCGAATTCAAACTCCTTACGTTCCATGTACCAATACCTAAGTCCCTATTTTTCAACTTTCGCCATGAATCCCCTAAAGCAGTCCCCACCTGGAGACCCGAACGGGGAACTAGTTTACCTCCAGATAATGAGCGTTTTACCTTAGGGGGATTCATGACTATTTGTGGTGTATGTTGAACTAAAGATATGTGAGTAGGGCGTTCAATCCTATGTCACACCCTCCAGCAAGTCAAGTCTGGAGGGCCCCTCTCATTGTTGGTCAGCGAGTCCATCAGACTTAGCTGGGAAACTTCCAAGGAATTTCCTCCAACCATCCTCATATCCGCCACCCGTGGGACACTCCCTATATGTGGTAATGAGTCTGCGCGAGGTTAAATAAATAATTTTTTTTTTTGTCTGAAAGTCTTTTACTTATATCACTTTTGCATTGGTCAGTTCACATCAAAGAAAGTATTCTGTGTGATATTTGGGGTAACCTTCATCGAAGGATTCATCAAATCTGAGGTGAATGTCGCATTTTTTAAGGTTTTTGTAGTATATATTAATTCCATGTTTTGTTACTGATTTTAACAAAATTTAAAATTTTATATTAATTAAATTAAATATTATAATATTTTAGTGAAAATGTTTTGCCAGTGCTGGTGCATTTAATTTTAATTATTATTTATACTATCATTATTTTTTTTTTAAATTAAATGACAATTTTCCTATATTTTGTCTATTACTAATTTCTATCATATCTACGATATTTGTCATACTTCTATTTAATTTATAATTGTATGTTATGAGGTTATGGTCAATGTATTTAAATTTTTTTTTTTTTCTAGGAACCTATTCTAATTTATTATATAAATAACCCAAACTTAATTCTTTATTGTTGTTAATTCAAAATTTAAGATATAAAATTTTGATTTATTACTAGTAAAATTTATTTTAATTTTATTATCTTTCATTTATCAGTTAATCTTCTAAAATTACTGATAACTAAGACATGTCAAATGTATTTATTATTTGATTTTTTGGGTAAAATTGAACTTGTCGAATGTGATAGCTATATCCAAATATCTTATTATCTTCTCTATGGGTAATTTATTATAAATTCTATTACTTTTGAATATTGTTTTATAAATTTAATAATTCTATTGTAACATTTCTTTTAATGCTAAACAAATTACAAAATTAATAAATTAGGTTTACCTAGTGAAGGGGGAGTGAGTACTTCCTAACTACTTATTTACTAGTTCTTCCTGGGAGATGCCCAGTAATTGATTTACACACCATTCATTAACTTGGTTTATTATTACAAATCCAGACAAATTTAAAAAAAAAAAAAAAAAAATACTCACTCACAAACTGGCATTACAGTCCATATAGGATCTTGGGTTCCATCAACAGCTTACTCCATTTGGCTCTGACCATAGCATATAGTCTCCTGCAGTGTACACCTAAAGCCTCCATATCATCAGTTCTGCCTCGATATCATCCAGCCATCACAGTTGAGGCCTCCTCCTCTTTCGTTCACCACCAGCAGAGGAGTTTTTTAGATTCTACCAGGGTTCATTCTCTCTATGTGTCCCAATCACCTCAATCAGCTCAGCTGGATATAAGATACAATGTCTCCCTCTCCAAACAAATCCAACAGCTCCTTATTTGTTCTAATTCGCCAAGCATCTCCCATTTTCACTGCATTGAATATTCAACAAAGAACTTTTCTTTTTCAGAATTTTAAAACTCTCTTATTTTCCGCTGTTATGGTCCATGAATTGCTTCCATAGGTTGAGTCTGCCTTACTATTGTCTAATAGATTAAGAGCTTTGCCTTTCTTGAGAGGTTCTTCAACTTAACTTGGGCCTTCTGCGAAAACCCCAGAGGCAGCATTTTCCAGCAATGTTTCGGTGTTTTATATCAGCTTTGTACAAATTATCCGTGTTTATCAAGCTACCGATACCTCAAGATACCTGAATTCTGGATAACATTGTATTGTGTTCTCATCTAGTTGAATTGTCCGCTCTTCACCGTATCTTTTTGCTGTCTGCATATACATTGTCTTCTAGACATTAATCTCAAGTATGAGTTCCCTTGCAGCTCCCAGGAAATATTCCAGTGCACCTGATTCAGCTTAAAGTGTTCTTGCTGATCACATCATCCAAAAAAGACAGATATTGTGTCAGGAGGTTGAAAATGGTATCACCCAGGTTTGTTCTTATTTTAAAAATGGCAGACTCTAATTTAAGATTGAAAAGCTAACCTGAAAGTGGGTCACCGTGGCATAATCCGTTCCTTCCTTTAAAACCTTTAAAGTATCTCTGTCTGATCTTGACCTTACAGGATGTATTCTTTAGAGTCATGCAGATAAGCCTAATAAGTTTTCTGGGGATCTCTAAAGAATTCAGGCATTTTTACATATTCTCCATGTCAATAGTATCATAGGTCTGTTTGAAATTGATGAATACATGGTGGAGAGTTACATTACACTCATTTGATTTCTCCAGCATTTTTCTTACTGAGAAGATATGATCAGTGCTAGATCGGCCTGGTCTGAAACCACATTAATATTCTCCTACTACTTTCTTAGTCCATTTTACTTATCTTCTACTGATCGCTATAGAGAGCACTTCGTATACTGTTCCAAGGAGGGATATTCCACGATAATTCATGTTGAATGTTCCTATTTTTGAGTGAAATTAAAGGATTATGTCTAAAAAAAAATAAAAAAAAATTAATAAGAATAATTTTCTATGATCAACTTTTTGGGCGCCTGGCTATTTTCACCTTTAATCTCCAAAGAGACAAATATAAAAACTACAAATAATTAATTAGCCATTAATTAATCTTTGGCCATATTAACATTCATGTTACCATGCTAAGATGAAAGGGTTAGGTTGGATTTGTAAAGCAGCAAAAACAAAAGGGTATTTCAAGGTTTTGGTCTATTTACAAAAAGAAATATATACATTATATTTATTTCTAAATATATATTTACAACTAAAAGAAATAATACAAAGGGGAAAAGAGAAAATTTAAACATAATGACTATATACAGCATAAAGATGAATATAAAGATAATTAAGACAATAACAAAAAAAAAAAATACTTATTCTATTAACTATGTACAATTCTATTTGGCATGCCACATCTAAACCTAACAAAAACAATTTTCCAGATATGCTAATAAATCTAATAATTAATACCAAAAAAACAAAAGAAGAACGGGTTATATATTATTTTCAAAGCTTCCCAGATTGGCTCTTCGGTAATGCTGCCAATCTTGGTTACAGGATTTATATTGAAACCTGTGCAGTAGATCTATGAGGTAGAAATGACAATCTCTCTCATAGTTTGATGCTGATTGTAAGGGTGTGATTAAGGGTAGGAATACTAAAAGGGTGAAGTTTTGAGGAACGATTCTCATAATAATAAAAAAGAGAGAATCCATGGAGGGTAGAAAGTTAACTAAGAACCCAATAAAAAGGAAAGTGGGACTAATGCAAAATATATTGAAACTCAAAACTATCAAGAGAAATAATGAACCTAAACCATTTACAGGATTGCATTTTGTCAAGCCTAAATGATTAAGAGAAATAGAATAAATAATGAGGATGGAAAGATACATATTTTCTTTAATAAGAAAACATTCAACCATAGAAAAAATGATGTTAACCAAATGATACCTTAAATGAAGAGTATACACATATATACCACCAAAGTGAGATGCATTAAAAATATAAATATACTCCCTCTCCTGTTTCCTTCAATATATTTCTAGTTGAAGAGATGTCAATAATGAATTTTTTTCTACATGTATGTGATCTTGTTTTTTCTGCCCTAATGATGCCTGAATTGGTGAAACATTGGCAATTAAACTGCTCACTTGTATGTTAGAGTCTCATGGCTTTGTAGTTTGGATTGTTCCATTCATTATGTCTCTTTTCGAGCTTTTTGCTTATTTTAGTAGTATTATTTGTGAAATAGCCATGTATCCACTAAGTTTTGTGGGGTATGTATCTGTTATACACCTTCGATTCTTTTTTTTTAAATTTATTTATTAATTTATTTTTCCTTTTTTAAATTTAATTTTGTTAATACATTTTTGTAATATTATATTTCAAGTATGAGTATTTTTCCCTGTATCCCTACTAATCAGCTGTTTTATATAACCTTTCTCTCCTGTTTCCTGGATGTTTCTGGATGGCTTGAAGAGATGTTAACAGTAATTTTTTTTTACTCTTCTTTTTTTCTGCATATATGTGATGTTGTTTTTTCTGCCCTGATGATGCCTGAATTGGCGAATCATTGGCAAGTTAACTGTTCACTTGTATGTTAGAGACTCGTGGCTTTATAGTTGAGATTGTTCCATTCATTATGTCTTTTTTCAAGATTTTTTCTTATTTTAGTAGTATTCAAAATATAATTTAAAAATTTTGAATAAAAAATCTCCAGGAAGTGATAAAATTGTAGTTCAATGATTCAAAGCTGCAGGAAGCTAATTGATTAAAGAGATAAGTGATTTAGAGGCACAGAGTTATGAAAAGAAAACTATCCTAAACTGGAAGAAAAGGATAATTGTACTTGTTTAGTAAAGAAGTGGGATGATACAGAATGCAACAACTACAGGAATATTTGTCTTACATATGTGGCACATGAAATATTTGTAATAGCTATGCAAAAAAAGATTCATGTTTGGATTGGAATTTTAAAGACTACTAGTTAGGTTTTTGTTATTAAAAGTCCATCAATTATCTTAGCTGTGAAGGGGCCTTTACACAGCAAATATTAATGAGTCAGTATCGAATTTTGTCAATATATTGGCCATCTAAGTGGTGTATTGTAATAATTATATTGACACTTGTGATAAATATATCATCTTCTATGACACTGAATGTGTAACAGGGGGCTTACAATAAGTGTGTGAGCTCAGAGAGCATAGAGTCGACCTCTTTTATTTTATTTTATTATTTTTTTTTTTATGTCCTTATGAAACATTAAGGCTGTGCATGATTCCATATTCCTGCCCATTGTGCTGCATATAGCTATGCATGAGTTGAATATACCAATAAAAAAAATTGAACTTCATGGAGGTGCAAAAAAAACATTTATTATTATTTAAGTTTTATTTATTTAGATATTGTTTATTTGAGCTTATTTCCTTATCAACTCGTTTCCTATTTATTTGTAGATCTAATGCTTTTGGGCCTGGGCTTTCTTTCAAGTAGACCTGTTTGCTTGTCTGTAATGTTGAGACTGAACACAAACTCAGGACAAAATGAAATAACTGAACCTGAATTGTACCGTGAGCTTGCCTCAATGGCAAGTGTTAAGTGTGGTGCTGGCTGTGCAAACCTCAACGGGTGCCTCCTTGTTTGTGGTAAGTTATTAAATGCTATTATATATTGTAAATTTACTTTAAACGGAGGTTGAAGCTTTCAAGCAATAAAAGAAAAATCACGGAACGCTTTAATTGATTTTTGATAATGTTTTTTTTTGTTTTGTGTGTTCGTTCTTGTTGTGTCTTTGTTCAGGCGGTTACGATAGGGGAGAGTGCCTGAGGTCTGTTGAACTGTACTCACCAGCCAACAATGAATGGAGGGCGCTGGCTCCAATGCTCGAAGCCAGGGGAAGGTAACTTTTTGTTTACCTTAAACGAAATGAACAAAAATATTGTAATTTTTAAGCTTTAGATGTGTAACTGTTCTTTGAAATATCACAGGAGAAAATTACTATGATTCTTTTCTTAAATACTTAATATTTTACTTAATATCAAGCCTTTTAATTCCTCTATAATTTTAAGCTTTTAGTATTCTATTTGGAACTGATTATATAATACAGAATTTTTATTTAATCTTTCAGATAACAGAATATTATCATTTTTAATTTGTAAAATAATATTCTTAACTTTATGAATAGCTTAAACTTGACTTAAATTAATTTTTTTTTTATTTCACGACCATGGAAATACTTTAAAGTTGTGAACTAAGTATAAAATTTGTATGTTTGCTTATGTATTATCTGTCAGGTTTCATATCACTCTGAATAAATGATTCTCATGAAAAAAAAAAAATTACTGGCTGATTTTAGAAAATAAAACTAATAGACAGTTTCTGATTTATATAATTTTGTATTTATTTCCGACAAGTTTCTTCATTTCAAAAGATCTAGTGAATAAAATCTATAATGTTGAATAAACTTAATAAAAAGAAAATGGGTTGTGATAATAGTAGTAGAATTTTGTTTTTATTTTATTTTCGGTATAATTTAATAATGTACTGATAAATATTTAACTATTATTAAATAACTTATAAACATTTTTCATTTCTATTTAAGAATTTGTCATTTGTATATTACAGCAGTGTTAACAAATATAATTTGAAATTCATCTTTGTTATATTACATAGCCTTGGTAATAGTTTATTTACTGATTCTATTTAAATATTATGTTTTGTTTATACTTATTGTCATATTGCCAAAGAATTCCCTTCAAAAATTTCTAGGCTCATTAGTTTTTCCAAGAAAGATATCACACTGTTTGATTGATCATTACACCTTAAGCTGTAAAGTAGTTTTAAAAAGTAAACCAGCAGTTATGACTAGCCATTCCTTTGAATTCCTGGATATCTGGAAGTATGAAAATACATTAGGGTAATGGAAAAGTTTAAAATTGTACCTAGTATAATAAATAAAGTTAGTAAAGTTAATAAAAATAGTATAAAGTTCTACTTGGGTTCAATTTTTTTTTCAGATATAGGTAAACAACTTAAGAAAAAACCTTTAAGTTCCCAATGAATCTCTTGTTAATGTAAAAATAATTAGCCTACAAATTAGGGAATTTGATGAGAGGAATGTATAACAAATCAAAATATTAAAAAAATTCACGATGACATACAGTCGTGGTCATAGAAATTGCATCATCTATTTCTTTTGATTCTTATGTTGATAACTATGGTTCTGTGGAAGGTTTTTATTTTTCTTTGCTTATTAAGCTTACAAGAAAACTTTAAGAATGTTTCTCAGTTCATTTATGCCTGGATAAAAGTTGAAATTATCACCTGTATCAAAAACTTTCCTTGTCAAAAATATTAAAATTGTGACGTTACATAAAGTAAAGGAATTTAGTAACAAGGATAGGGTGCCACCAATCAACAGTAGTAATAGTTTTGGAAAAAAAAAAAAAAAAAAAGGCATGGAGCGAAAGAAAGAAAAATGAACAATTTTACCTCTTAATGGTGCGATTGTTTTTAGAATATCTTTTCAAAACTCTTGCAGATAGCAATCTGGTAAATAAAATAAAATTTTTACTAGGTGATGCAATTTCTGTGACCACGACTGTATATTAAAGTTTGAGCCTTTTCTTTCAGCCTAGTTCTCAAGGATTTTCCATAATTTGTTTACCGAAACTTGAATTATTCAAGTGATTAATGATAACTTTTCACCAAAAACCATACATTTTTACTTCAATTAATGAATCTCCTATAATTTTTATTTTGTTAACTTGATGCTTTATTAAAAAAAATGACTTGAGATGGGAAATGTCTTATGCAAATTCTTTATTAATGGGAGTAGGACCAAGTTGTTTTCATTAAATTATTTACTTTTTTCTGTTTGAAATATTGATAACTTTTATTATTAATTTATAATAATAAACATAATTAAAACCAAAACAAATAACTTTTTTTTTAATAAGCGGTTTATCTTTCAACATTTTGGAATTTTATCGTTTTTCTTTTGTTTACGTTCTTATTAATCATTTCCTGTGGTTTCAGCTTTGCAGCTACAAACATGTTTTAATGGTTGTCCAGAATTATATATGATAAAGTATAAGAAAATGAAAGTATAAATTTTGTTTTGTTGTATAAAATATGTGAATTAAATTTTGGTGAACTTTATATATTTATCCTTTGTGTAAGAAGTCAAGTTACCATTATCAAACGTGGCACCTTTTTAATCACTCAAATTGTTATGTTGAAGTATTATCACGTGTTAAGTCCAAATATTACTTTTTAGCAAAAATCAACAAAATATAAAATTTAAAAAAATATATAATTCAATAAATTTACGAGAATGCCTTAAATTTTTAGTTGAGAATCTTGATACTATTGAATTTTTTCTTACTCTATCACTGGACAACATATTTCTTCAGGGGCGTTGTCTTAAGTTACCAATGATCCGGGTTATACAAAATCCTTAGTCTTCTCGAATTGGTAATCTCCGAAGGTCACCTTCTCTCCAGGCCTAAGCACTTCTGTGAATGTATATTCTGTTTTGGCATCGTTGAATTCCAAGCCAAGTCTTGCAAAATTCTCTAGAGCAAGGAAAATGTCTAATATGGCATGCAAAGAGCATCCCATGATGTCATCATCCGCGTATAGAAGGAACTTTACAGGTCTATTAAACATATTGCCTTTGTCTATTAAACATGTTGCCTTGGTCTATTAAACAGGTTGCCTTTGTCTATTAAACATGTTGCCTTGGTCTATTAAACATGTTGTCTGTATGCCAGTATCTCTCACTGCTTTCTCACTTGCAAGATCAAAGAGAAGGCAGGCCAAGACATATTCCTGGCACAATCCTTTTGTGAGGAGAATTGAAAACCTACTGCTCCCCACTGATTTGAACCATGCAGCTAATGTTGTTCATTGTAAGCCTTACAAGGTGTAAAAGCTTGCTAGGTATCTTAAAATGCTTCAGAGGCTCATACAATTATTTCCAATCATGAATAGCATGCTATCGTAAGCTGCTCTATAATCGATGAAGAGGTGGTGAGTTTTAATCTTGAATTTCCTTCCTCGCTCCAGTATCATCCTGAGGCAGAATATTTGATTGGTCATAGACCTGCCTTTTCTGAATCCACACTAGTGAATTACTAGAGTACCCTCTCTGCAAGGGATAACAAATGCTTAAAGAGGATGTGTGAAAAAACTTTGTTTTCTTGCCAGATTGGAGGGAGATGATCCCTCTGTAGTTGGAGCACATTAGTCGATCGCCCCTTTTAAATATAGGCCGGATGAGCGACTTAGTCAATGGGTCTGGTAGAACTTCCTTCTCCTTCAGGTGGGAAAAATAATCACACAGCCACATTCTCCTCTTCTCCCCCCCTCCCAGAAATTTCAGGAAAAAATGTTATGAAGGGGAAAAAAAATATTTGTGAATAACTCAAAAAATCTATTTGTATCATTAATTGCATCGCACCCATGATTATTTGAAAGATTACTACAAAAAAAAAAAAATATATTGAAATCAGACCATCATAAGCAGAGATACAGAGATACTTATATTTTCATTTTGAATGGTAGCTGGTAAAAACATTTTATTCTAAAAATGCAGTAAAAACATATGTTTTAAATCCGCCAAGACTAGAAGTTGTTTAAATTGTTTTGAATAAGTAGGTCATACATAGGTTTTGATCTAAAATATTCTATGCATCCCAATTTACTTAAAAATATGTTTTTAATTATTTCTTCATCGTGGATTCAACTAACTAGAACATGCTAAACTTTGTACTATTAAACAATAACTGATTACTAACTTGCTTAATGATTGATATTGAATTTAAGGGATTACGAGAATAGAGGCGAAGTGCACATAGTGGCAACAGGGCTTCCCATGTATTGCGGGGCCTGAGATTTTATTCTAGCAATAGAGGCTATAAGCTCTGTAAATTTATTGTGCTCGATTGTGAAAAATTTGATATTTTTACATTTTGAACATTGTTTTTCGTGTTAACAGAATGTGAAAAAAAATTAGGATTAAACATAATACTAGAAATTTGTTTTTCCAACCAAAATATTTTTAACTTGGTTTATAAACAATTTTATTTTATTAATTTTAAAATTTATGAATTAATTTTTTTATTATTTATTTAATTTTAAATTTTATTGATTTTATTAATCAGTAAGAATTACAATGGAATTAGGTAACCCTGCAAGAATTAATTAAATTACACATTATTATTTTTGCATTAACAAACACAACTTGTAACCAAAGATATAACTGTTTGTCCAATACCAGCTGGTATTCACACCTCTTCCCCTGAAATGAATTGTTCGGAGTGTTAAGTGATAATTTGCTATTGTGAAAATAATTTGATATTTTTTCTTTTTTTCCATAATCTACTTCATACATTGAGTTTGAAATTCTCTTGAGAATCTTGAATGGGCTATGCTTACTTTATCTGTCTTCCTTTTTAGTTTGCTTCTGTTTTCTATATATACCTTGTCTTCATTTTTTAATTACTGAAATTTTCTTGTTCTGTTCATTCTTCTTTTATTTATTTCAAAACTTTTTACATATGAAATGCTTCTTGTCTATCTTTAATAAGTCATTTTCGTTTACTGTATTGACTGGAGAAACTAAAGATTGTTTCCCAAACAGTAAATACTGTGGCTCGAATTTAGTGGATGAATGTATTGTTTTAATGTATTCTGACTCACAACCTTCTATTACTTTTGACCTCACACGTTTATCATTGCTGTTTATTTTACACCTTATTTTGTTTACCAGATTCTGGTTTAATATCTCGTTAAGACGATTAGACTGTGAGAAATCTATAGAGGTGAATATTAAATTAATTTTTTCCAGGTATCTTTTAAGAATTATAGAGTTTAAGGCTGTGTATTGATCTGCCAAAATAATTTTGATTTGATTTTTTTGGGCACTGGGATCAATAAGTTTGATAAAATCTATTACACAATCACCTTTTGTAGTACAAATCCAGGCATATCTGCTAAAGTGATCCACCAAGATATGCATAATTTTGGTGCATCAATTTCTTTCGAGATCGGTTCCTCTGAAACCACCTATGGAATCAATCAACATGATTTCATAAGGTTCTTGTGCGGGACCTATCTTAGACATTAAACCAATGGGTTAAAGCACCAGTACTTTATTTTCTGTACAAACAGTATAGTTTTTACAAAACTGACTTATTAGCGAATCTAAGTTTTTAAACTAGTTCACAGTCTTTATTTTATCTCTCATTTGAACAACACCAATGTGACCATAATAATTGTGTATGTGGTGTATAATTTTGATACCAAAACCAGATGAAAAAAAATTCTTTTTCTTCCTTTTAATTTCTGGAATATAATGTTATTGTATTTTGAACGGATTTCAGTTCCTCGATGTTTTTATTTTGATCATTAATTATTTCATTTAGTTCTATTAAATTTACTGCATCAATTACATCTTTATTTTCGAAATATTCCAAAACAGATTGTCTTGACAGAAGGTCTACTAAAATATTTTCTTTACCTTTTTTGTAAATAATTTTAAAATTAAATTGAGATAAATATTGAATCAAATCATCCAATATTTCATCTGTTCTTGATTTGGTTTTTAAATTTTCTAATGGCTTATTGTCACTGCACAAAACAAATTCTTGCCCCATTAAATAATATTGCCAATACTTTATAGCTTTTCAAATAAATAATATCCTTTTTTTTTTCTTTTTCCGAAAGCTTCCTTGAAAAGTATTGTAGTCCTATTGGATGTAATTTTCCGTCAGTTTGTGATTGTTTTAAAGTTGCTCCAGTATCGATGTGGCTAGCGTCCGTTTCTATATATACATCTTTATCTTTATCATAAATGGCTAAGATTGGAGAAAAACACAAACAAATAGGTTTTGATTAAATTGAAACTATTTTCACATTCATCAGTCCATTTGAATTTGATATTCTTTCTCAACAAATTATGCAATGGCTCAAATATCTCTGCACTATTTTCAATGTATTTCAATTAAAAATTAATAGAACCTAATATACTTCTAACTTCTGATTTATTTCTCAGTATTTTGAGTTTTTTTATAGCTCTCAAATTTTCTTGAGCAGGAGATATTCTATTTTCTTGAATTATATGACAAGATATTTCCCCGAATTGGCTGTGAAATTACACTTTTCCAACTTTAGTTTGAAACCTTCCTCTTCAATCGCCTGTAAAAATCTCATCTTGTACTGCCAGTGGTAGTCCCATCAAAATCATATTTACTCTTTTTAAAACTGTACTTCTACCCAGACAATTTCAGTTTGTCGTCTATTTGCTTTACATTCACTCAAGGCTATTGCTTATATAGTCCAGTACTGTTCTGGAATTAAAATTGTCATAACTTACAAAGAACCTACCTCACCCCACTTAAGCGGTAAAAGAAAAAATATATCATGATGATGATGATGATGATGATGATAATAATAATAATAAAGAACCTCTTTTTTTAATATTTATTTCTTCATTTTTTATTAACTGTAAACTCTTGTTAATTTGAACTGTTGATTAACCTGGGGTTCAGGTTAGCAAACAATTCAATAGTAGTATAACCACTAAGTCAAACTGCATACTAAACTATTAAAATATAGCATTGGGAATAACTAATTCTGCAATAGGAGACTCAGTATGATGGTGGTTTGGTACACTAGCATAACAAACTGCAGTATTTTTGAATATATGATTATTTGTTTAGCTTTTAATACTAGGTAGGACAAAACTCTTGATTAGTTAAAAAAAAAACTGCTTTTCTACAACTTGAAGTTAAATAAGAACATGTTGCTCCTAAAAATGTATCACAAAACAATATGTTAGATGATTCAGGAATTTTAACTGGTACAATTTTTCAGTTTGGATTATGCTTAACGTTTTCCAAATTTTTGTCGGCCATTTGAGCTTCTACCACTTCATGAAAAAACATTGTATTAGGAGAGTTGATGAATTCCAAGTTGGACATCTGTCTGATTCTGCTACCACCTTATCTTTACCATTTGGATATTGTATATTCTGCTATTTAATTAAGCTGTCCTGTTTGTCTTGGAGAAATCTTGTTGAGATCCTGTTTAAAACCATAAACAAGGGGCTTGTGATCAGAGAAAACAGCAGACTGATGCCCTTTTAAGAGATATATATAATCTTTAATTGCGGTATAAATTATCAGTAACTTGCCATCATAATAACTGTATTTCACTTGTTTAGATGTGATTTAGCTTGTCTGCTACAATAGTTTAAAATTAGAGGTATATTGGAACAGAACAGTGCTGGGAAATTATTTGACAATAACAATTAACTAAAACTCTTGTTTTCCACCCTTAAGTGAATTACAGTCATGATGTGACTTATTTTTCAAATAAAAAATTTATGTTTCAAAAAAGGTTTTGCAAGTCGCATTCCGATTCACAGTACAAACTTTTATTTTTTAAATTAAAAACTATAATTTATAAATATAAGTCATAAAAACTATAAGTCATGATCTAATTTTTTTATTTGAATATAAGTTATACATTTATTTTGTTTCAAATTCTATGATAGCAGGGTTCATTTAGATAGGAACATAATAGATCATAATAAATGTTATTATATTTATTGCTTTATGTTTATGTTTAATATTTTCAAACTACGCCACTGATAACATTATACTGGATCCTGAAATCAAAAAAATATCAGAATTAACTGATAATAAATCAAAATGAAAAAATTAATCTTAAAATCAACATTATTTTCAAAAATGACACTCCAATGATATATATTTTTTTATTTTATTTATTTAATGATATTTACAACTGTATACAAATAAAACTAGTAAATATGCACTCCAATAATATAATTATGTAAACCTATATATTGAAGAAATTCAAAAAGTTAAAATTAATTTATTATAATTTGATACGGGACAAAGTAATCTCAAGAGCAATAGTATTTTTAAAACATACTCCTCTGATAATATAATAATAGACCTAGGTTTATATAATTTAAAGGTATCTCTTCCATTGGTAATTTTTTTTTTTTTTTTATTCCTTTAGTCTAACATTTCGGGTTACTGACCCATTATAAAAAACAATTTATCATGTTATAGACAACATAACAATTATTTCAAATATGTTCAAGAATATTCCTATTTTTATGCACTATATTTCATTTACAAAACCTTGCAAAAGTTTTGCCTTTTCATTATAAAACCTAGAACTATTATAACTCTTTCTCATAAATAAGATATCAAATAATAAATGAATAATAGACCTTTATTTCGAAGAAATCTGAAATGTTAAAATTAATTGTGGTAATAAATCTTATTGACAAATAGAATCTTTTGTATTGTTATAGAATCTTATAGAAATAGAATCTTGTAGATAGTTATAAAAAAAATGGCATTCATCAAGAACATATATTGTTTGCGGGAAAGAAAATTGGTATAAGTGAACAAAACAACAACACTGGTTTCAGAAAATGAAATTTAAAAATTTTTTGATTCTTCCTTTGTGAATTGTGGAAACTATTTTTTTTACTTTACTTACTTCTAGTCTAGGAGCCAATGATGCATTTATTCAATGGACGAACATAAAGCTACCAAGAATTGACTAAGACTAGAACTGACTTACAATTACAAGTAAAAAATCAATATCGTTAGACGATCAAGATGGTTCATTTTCTAAACAATTACAATTTTACTTGTAATTGTCAGTTCTTATCCAGCATTTAACCAGAAATTTAAATCTTTCTGATTATTGTATTTTTAATCGTTTCCAATAGGTTTAAATCAATTGGACTGTGTTTTCCAATATTGTAAAAGATTCTACTAAAATAAATTGGAGACAGCTTTAGAAATTCATCTTCCTGGGTCGTCTTTCTTGAATGATTTTTACTCA